CGTATATATTGTATAGCATACCGATGACAAACATATTGCTCTATAGTTGTTGCAGTTTACATGTTCTCCTTTTTTGTTTATATATTTTCCATAGCCAGTATATTCCTTCTTCTCCCATGTATTTTACCAGTTCTGGTTCAATTCCATCATCTCCACCTGCCTTTTCTATTTTTATATTTGATAATCCTTCTATTACTTCTTCTCTACTTATTTGCTCTAACTCTGTGTTTTCTTCACCTTCATTGATTATATTTTCTTCCTTTGTCACTTCGGTATTCTGATTTGTTTTAAAAATATTAAAATTGTATCAATTTATTTTCACATCCATTGACGAAAGCGCATCCGCATATTCGAGTTTTTTTTTATTTGTGTTATTAACAATCCACTGAATAAAGGAGACACCAAGATACATCGATAAACCCATTCTTGTTATAGGTCGAAAAAGGTCGTTCAAATACCAACCAGATTAATTTTATTTTAATCGATGAATTACACAGTGCTGCAGACTGCTACAATCCCTAGACAATGGCTGCAATCGACCTTTATAGCAATTCCCAAAAAGCCAAGTGCAACAACTTGCTCAGACCACAGAACAATAGCCTTTATGAGTCACACGCTTAAAACATTTTTGAAAATAATTTACAGCACAATTGTTAAAACTCTTGAATATGAAATTAGTGACACACAATTTGGCTTTAGAAATGGTATGAGTACAAGAGATGCTTTGTTCGGCTTGAATGTGCTGGCTCAGAGATGCTTGGACATGAATCAGGACATGTACGTATGTTTTGTAAACTTTGAAAATGCATTTGATAAGGTTTAATATAAAAAACTTGTAGATATATTAAAAAGCAAAAATATTGACAGACGTGATATAGAAATTATATCTTATTTATATTGAAATCAAACTGGGAAGGTAAGAGTTGACAGTCAGTACACCCAAAATATCAAAATACAGAGAGGAGTCCACCAGGGTCCACCAGGAACATGGATAACATCAGATGTAGACCAAATAAAAGAAATTAAGACACCTATTGAATTAGCACGTGCATTATTTACTAAAATTAAAAAGTTTCTTGGTTGTCGGAATATAAGATTTTTTTACCGGTTTTTGTTTTTATACAGATTGCATAAATAGGCATGACATTTAGAAATGCAACCGAAGATTATATCATCTTGTGGTGAAATTGTTTTGACTTGTTCAAAAATGTAAAAGTAAATGAGTGTAAAAAGAAATTATTTCGACGTATTGATAAAGTACCTAATCGACAACAACGTTTATCTGTATATATTTGGTAATCCTGCTTACTATGGCTGAAAGTATTTGTCTCCTGATAATATAAGCTTAGTTCAGATTAGAAATAGAGATCGGAGATTCTGTAATAATAGCCTTACTGTGTGTTGTTATATTAGTAGGAGTTTTGTGGTTTTAAAACAAAGACAAAATATTACAAAATTTTTGGAATATGTGTACTTTTTAAACTTTGATGTACTGATGTTAAACTGAGCAATCAAGACAAGACATGGGCCTCTCATACTGTTTGTCAAACTTATGTCGAGGCATTGAGACTATGGTTAACAGTGAAAAGAAAGCTGTCGTTTGGAATACCGATGGTCAGGAGAGAACCATCAAATCATGTGGCTGGTTGTTACTTAATTGATCTGACTAATATATGTGGCTACCCAATTAATAACACGACATCTATTGATTATTCTAACTAAGCTTCTTTTATTAGATCGCAATCTTACAGCGATATTATACTTATACGAATATATCTTTATCCTTAATTAGTTTGTTTATCATCCCACTAACCTTCACAATTTTTTCTAGAACTATTTTGAATAGCAAGGTAGACAACGGGTCCCTTTGGCGAATCAATTTCACAGCACAAATGGTTTTTCTAATTATCATTTCTGCCAATCTTTCTATTTTTTTGTCACTTGGATTTCTTCTAGCGTTTCTATTAGTTTGTTTCTGTCTATTATATCGTAGGCGGCTTCGTGATCAATAAAAATTACTTGCGCTGAAATGTTGTACTTATAGCAATTAATCAGAATTTTTTTAAACATGAAAATTTGAGTGATTGTTGATCTTTCCTTGCGAAATTATTCCCAGCATTCTCCTAGATTCTTCTATACACATATTTTTAATCGTTTTGTAATTAATATGACAAGAAGTTTTTATATTACCTTTTAAAAGGATATTCCTCTGTAGTTTGGGTATTCAGTTCTATCTCCCTTTTTATGTATAGGAATTATAACTGACTTGTTCCATTCTTGAGGCATTTGTTCGGCATCCCACATTTTTACTATTAGCTCACTAACTTGGTTTATTTAAGCCTCTCCTTAATATTTTTCCTTTATGGGTTTTTTTTGTATATTTATTTTATTTTATTTGTTCTCTTATGGGCTTTGGTATTTTTTTCTCGCAATCATCCCAAGGAAAAAAATACGCAATCCCTCAACTAATCATCCACGGAAATATTGAAGGCAAGGAAGGAGTGGGTCGCAAACAAATGTCGTGTCTACGAAACATAAAGAACTGGACAGGCATAAATAACATTGGCGATCTTTTGGATGGCGCAAAAGACAGACGTCTGGCCTTAAAATAATTCGCCACCGCACTATAGGTGTACGGCACCATAAGAAGAAGGGGCTTTGGTATTTTTGCTACTATTATTTGTGGCTTAGGAACACTATAATTTTTTTCTGTAGTCATTCTGTCATTTACAATTTTTTTCACTAGTCAATCTGTCATTTAGCAGCTCTTCGAAATATTCTTTCCATCTTTCAGACATTTGGTCTGCGTCCACTATCAGGTTTCCTTGCTTATCTTTTACATTCATAAGCAATTATAAATGTCAAAACAAAATTTTTTTTAGCATTTTCGAGGCTATTTTTCGATAACCTTATTTCAATTATATTATTTTATTCTACCAACTCTTGAAGTTTAAAACTCACTCAGCAACTCATAAAATAAACGATCTCATCTTATAATATACAGTTTTCGTCACAATCTTCGTGGATTGGAAAAATTGATGATGCTTTTGTTCTTATTTACCACTGAGTGCGATCCTGCGCTTTAGCGAGAATACTCTTTTCATCGCGAATATTCCACTCATCGTTCGACACGAAAAAAGTTCAAATCTTCGCGGTAAACGGCGCGTAATGTTCCAGAACGTGTATTAGTCCTTATATAAGCCCTCTGAGGTGGCCTGTTATAATTAGTATTAGCAAAGTATTTTTGTGAGCGATACTGTGCGAATTTTAGGACATAATTAATATTATATTTAGACTTTAAGATATTTGTAATTCAGTAAGTTTTTTGGAATTAAAATAAAATTTCACTTATTCGCTGAATCTACAAAAAAACTTATATATACGGTATATTAAAAAAATCGTAATTATTAAGATATGAAGTTTACACATTAACTTCGCATTTTTTTATTAGTGACCTATTTCGCCCGATACGATTATTGCATCTGCTTTCCTGTACTAAGTAATCTTGTTTACTAGATAACCATCAAAGGTCATGTGTAAAACTGAATATTTACGATTTAATGAACTTTGTAATTGAAACATTAAAAGTATATTTAGAATGTACGTACAGTGTTTGTAGCACTACGTAAATGAACAAAGAAATATGAATATACATGAGTGACTGCCGTTGTAGCCTTGTCATTATGCAAACTGGACAGGCATTAAATTGTATAGAGGTAAATCCCTAGAGATGGTCGATGTGTTGGCAGCTTACATTTGCAGGAAATTGATACAGACAAAACGAAAGAAAAAACGGTAACTCCGAGGCAAAACTAACAAATCACTTAAGTTTGCTAAAAATATGTACATTATAATGAAATATTTTCATTACAAGTAGGGTTTACAGGCTGTTGATTTTCTTTAAATTTTTCTGTAAAAGTTTTAAACACTTAAAGAACACAACTTAATACATAATAAATAAATCAGTAATTAAAATAAATATTTAAAAAATGCTTATTTTATTGAAAAAAAAACGAAGGAATGGAAAATGGGATACATATATAAAAAGGGAAACAGAAAAAATCCAACAATTATAAAGAAATATGCGTCACATCTTCTGTGGGTAGGTTGTTTGGAAAAATAATTTGAGAAAATATGGATAAAGTAAGTATAAGTATATAAAAATGAGATAAAAAAACGCAAAAGAAAATAAAAGTTTTTCAGAATTTGATTATTTTGAATTAATATTAACAAATAGAGGAGGCAAAGGGAGAGAAATAGATACGCTGGGGTTGAATGGCAGCAAAGCAGTAGGATTATTAAATGCACTGTTGAAGGCAAAAAACCTGTCCAGTGCAGCTAAAAATAAAACCAATGAAATGTGGTGTGACCAACAGTATTGTATGCATGTGAAACTTCACATGTATCAAAAAGAAAAAAAAAGTTAGAGCTTTGGAAGAGGAAAAAAGGCCTATTTAGCAATTGTATCTATGATTTCTTTAAATGTTATACCGGATTTGTCCCTTTTATTAAAAATATTATTGACAACAATAATTATTTTAAAAACCATTTTTATTTCTTCTATATTATTTTTGGTAGCAATGTGCGGTTTCCTAAATATGTATTTCTGGATTTTTAAAATAAGGTCAATGAAATGTATAAAGAAAATTCTAAAAGTTCCGTTTTGTAAATTTTTAAAAAAATCATTCATAAACTCATTAAAACAATATTGTTATTATCGGGTGTGTTACGATTTTTTTTAGAGATGTTTATTAAATAACGTATTTCAAAAAATTTCTTCCAATTTCATCGACCATCAAAGTATGTTGTAAAATAATACGGAAAGGTATTTTGAAACAAAATACCGAACTTTTGGTGACTCTTCTCAATCTTCACATAAGACATATTATATCTGAATAGACTGCTGTCTATTGGTTATTGTGATTATTACTGCTGAAACTATTTTCTACCACGCAGAAGGAAGTGGGGCCCCACTGCGTTACTTTGCCCCAAGAACTATCATGAAGATGACCTCTAAACATATCAGTATGCCGAGCGATCCAACTAGCAATTGGCGCCAATCAGCGTCCGGGGCTGATGGTGTGAAATGGGCTACCGGCCATGATGTTGTGAGAAACCAGGCACGCCATGGAAACTCTGAGTCTGGAATAAACATAAAAATATGGAGCACCCTTAAAATCGGTACGTGGAATGTTCGAGGATTGCTGGAACCCGGAAAATTGGATGTAGTGGAAAACGAGATCCACAATTATGCCATTGTAGGTCTATCTGAAACCCACTGGAAAAATAAAGGACATTTTACGTCAAAAAATGGCAATGATATTTATTTCTCCGGCAATGATAACGAATCTCGGAATGGCGTCGCAGTGATAGTAAATAATGCCTTTAAAACCTCCGTAAAAGAATACATAACCGTCAGCGATCGGATAATTGTTGTCAGAATGAATGCCAGTCCAGTTAATCTTAATGTGGTACAAACATATGCCCCAACAAGCGAAGCTCACGATGAAGAAATCGAAACATTTTATAGTACGTTGGAGCAGACGCTTAGGAAGCTTCCAAATAGAGAAATCACAGCAGTCGTAGGCGATTTCAACGCTAAAATTGGTGTAACTACAGAAGATCATTACTTGCGAGAGACCGTCGGATTATATGGACTTGGCCAAAGAAATGACAGAGGAGAACGCTTGCTACACTTTTGTATAGACAACAACCTGTTTGTTACTAATACAGGCTTTCAACATCACCCAAGACGACTATACACTTGGATATCACCAGGAAATAGATACAGAAATCAGATAGATTTTATACTGGTAAAAACCCGTTGGAGGAGCGCTGTTAAGGATGTTAAGACCTATCCAGGAAAAGATTGTAATAGCGACCATCAATTTTTATCAGCTGAATTCCGCATGAAGTTAAGAAACAGTCCAAAAACAGGAAATACAACAACTAAATGGCATCTAAGATATAACGATCCGTACAAAAAAGCCGCAATGCAAAAGCTATGTGACCTCAAACAATCATTAAATCCAGACGAGTCCTCAAACAGCCTATGGACAAAAACAAAATCGATATTGCATAATGCTGCGAAAAATATTAAGAGTGATAGAGAAGAAAGAAGGAAACAATGGATAACGGACTCCACGTGGACTAAAATACAGGAGAGGAAGTGCTTAAAAGCCACAGGACTGAACAGTGAAAGTGATAAAGAGGCCTATAAAGCGCTGAACGGTCAAATAAAACGACTCTGCAAAAAGGACAAGAACACACACTTGAACAAAATCTGCATGGAAATAGAAGGGCATAAAACCAAAACTGAGACCAGAGACATGTTTAAAAAAATAAAGCAGATAACACGTTCCTTTACACCAAACTACCCTGCTATCAAAGATGATAACGGAACTCTACTCACTTCTAAAAAAGATATTTTACACAGATGGAAAGAATACTGTGGACGACTAATGATGGAGGAAAGCACAGACGCCCCATCACAACAAGAAGATGCCAGTTTTGCGACGGAACCTGACGTACTCAAAAGTGAAGTTGAAGCAGCAATTATGAGGCAAAAAAGTCAAAAAGCTGCCGGTCCAGATAACATACCTATTGAAATGATTTGGGCCCTAGATGACGTTGGAGTGGATATAATACATCAAATTTGTCAAAGAGTGTGGGAGACAGGTAAATGGCCTGAGGACTGGACACAATCACTATATATTCCCATCCATAAAAAGGGAGCGAAAGATTTATGTAGCAACTATCGCACAATTGCTCTAATTGCGCATTGCAGTAAGATACTCTTACACATAATTCTCGAGAGGATAAAGCCCTTTTTACTACCTAACATTGCGGAGGAACAAGCAGGTTTCGTCCCAGGACGTGGTACTAGAGAACACATTTTAAACGTACGGCAGATTGTAGAAAAATCCAGAGAATTCAACATCACAACATATTTGTGCTTCATAGATTATAGTAAAGCTTTCGATTTGGTCAACTGGAGTAAAATGTGGCAGGTTTTGTCTGAAATGGGAGTCCCTAATCATCTGATACTGCTAATTAAAAGCCTGTACAATAACAATTATGCCAGAGTTAGAATAAATGGGGAACTAACTGACAGTTTCAGGGTCACAAAGGGCGTGAGACAAGGCTGCATACTAAGCCCAATTTTATTTAACATCTATGGTGAATGGATAATGCGGAAAGCTACTGAGGACTGGAACGGTGGCATCACCATTGGCGGGAAGAAGATTTGCAACTTGAGATATGCAGATGATACTACTATCCTCGCTAGTTCTGAAACTGAATTGATTCACCTGCTACAACGGATAGAAGACGTAACCTTATCGATGGGCCTTAAAATAAACAGGGATAAAACGAGAATCATGATAATTGACAGAGCTAACAACAATCAAAATCATCTGGTTAGGATAAACAATATCGCTGTTGTAGATAAATTTGTGTATCTGGGCTCATTAATAACCAACAAAGGAGGCTGTACTGAAGAAATAAAGCGGCGGTCAGCAATCGCAAAAAGCGCTATGGCAAAATTAACAAAAATTTGGAAAAGCCATGAAATTACTACCGATACAAAAATGAGACTAGTAAGAAGTCTAGTTTTTCCAGTTTTTACTTATGCATCGGAATGCTGGACCCTTACTGAGAAAGACAAAAAGAACATAGATGTATTTGAGATGTACTGCTGGAGACGAATGCTGAGAATACCATGGGTGGCCCGAAGAACAAATGAATCCATACTGGTCCAGCTAAACATAAAGAAAAGACTAAGAACACAAATAACAGAACAGATAATAAGTTATTTTGGACATGTGCTTCGAAGAAATGGTCTTGAAAAACTTACCATCCAGGGAAAAGTAGAAGGCAAAAGAAGTAGAGGTAGATCTCCTACACGATACACGGACCATATTGTTGCTACCATTGGCGCTTCATTGTCAGAATGTGCTAGATTGGCAGAAGATAGAAAAACGTGGAGGAACATTGGAAAAATTACCTAACAGCTTCATGATATCACGATACCTGCATCAGGTTAACGACTAAGAAGAAGAAGAAGAAGACTGCTGCCTTGACGCATCGGAAAAAATGCATGAAATAAACTTAAAGTAGATAGTAGCCTGAACAGAGGCTAAAAATATAAAAAGCGAATGAAGCAATGAATAGCTTTTAAATATTTCACCTACAAACCACGGTTTATTACTAATGTAGCAAACTTACTGTAAATAAAAGTTAAAAAGAGTGTGAATGTGTATGTATATGTGTGCTTCGATAGCTTGCTGTGGATTGTATCTTTTTTTCTGTTGTCAACGGTTTCTTTAAACTTGTTGCCACTGATCGATATACACTGTGTCAGTAAAGTATGGAACAAATTATTTTTTAGCTAAACAAAACATTTTAAGAAATAATCCTGAAACAGGTTGATTTTTGATTTTAATTTACCGTATTTTAAAATAATATTATAATAATACAGGGTGAACTACTTTCGAGTAATGACGTCACCGTCATTTTTTTTAAATGTAACACCCCCATTTTGTTTCTATTTTCAGATTACACTAGCTGATCTGATTCCAAAAATGTATCACACGTTAATTCAAATTGGTACAGGGTGGACTAAAATACAATAGTTTTGTGTGTGTTCATAAAGTAAAGCTAGTTAAATTCACAATATCAAAAATACTTACTGTCTAGCGGACAGAATATGATGAAATACATGACTCTATAAATGTTTGAACTGCAGCCCTTGCTGTATTTTACAGTAACCCAAACGTTGTACAAATTCTTGTTGAACCTTGTTTATTGTCTTAAAAAATATTGTTTATTGCTGTCCGAATTCTCTGTTGTAATTACTGAATATTTGCTGGTGTCATTTGATACACAACATTCTTCAGATGGTCCCACATCAAATAATCAAAAGGATTGAAATCTGGTGACCTCGCTGGCCATTCAATAGGTCTACGTCTACCAAAAATTTCATCTAGGTACCTTCTAACATCTACAGCATAATGTGGAGGTGCACCATCCTGTGGCAACCATTAACTTTCATCAAAACCTCCAGGATTACGTCTGCTGGGAAACAAATTACAAAAAGTAGGTACGAGATATCCCCTTAAAAACTCAAGGTACGTTGCTCCGTTTAAATTACCTTCGATAAAGTAGGGTCCGATGATTCGATTTCTTACAATTGCAGCCCATGCATTTACCTTTTTCGAGTATTGTGTATAATGCTCACGCATCCAGTGGGCGTTTTCTTTTGCCCAGTATCTACAATTCTGGCGGTTAACCTCGCCATTTAACGTGAAAGCGGCCTCATCAGAAAAAATTATGTTTTGTACCAAGAGAGGATCTCGGTGGCAGTTGCATTCTTCTATCTGGATCATCTTCGTTTAATTTCTGCACAAGTTTGATTTTATGAGGATGCCATTTTTCAACTTTTAATAGATAGTGTACCGTTGTTTTACTAACGCCGATATCGCGACTAACTTTACGCACAGAAGTGTGCGCATCTTCTTCAAAACTAAGTAAAACATCTAATGCTGTATCAGCATTTGCAGAGGGACGAACTGATTTCCGTGCATTTTTAACGGTACCAGTTTCTCGAAATTTCTGTTCAGTCTTACTGTTGAACGCGTTATAGGTCTTTCTGGATATTTATCATGGTTTATCATATGTATCAAACTTTATGGTTGCAACAGAATGGTGCACCTCCACATTATGCTTTACATGTTAGAAGGTAGGTAGACGTGCACCTGTTGAATGGCCAGCGAGGTCACCAGATTTCAATCCTTTGGATTACTTTATGTGGTGCCATCTGAAGAATGTTGTGTATCAAACGAAACCAGAAAATATTTAAGAATTACAACAGAGAATTCGAACAGCAATAAACAATATTTCTCAGGACCCAATTAACAAGGTTAAACAAGAATTTGTACAACGTTTGGGTTACTATTAAATACAGAAAGGGCTGCAGTTCGAACATTTATAAAGTCATGTATTTCATTATATTCTGTTCGCTAGAGAATAAGTATTTTTGATAATATTGTGAGTTTAACTAGCGCGTTATTTAATGAACACACACAAAACTATTGTATTTTTGTCCACCATTTTTGGAATCAGCTCAGCTAGAGTAATCCGAGAATTGAGACAAAATGGGGGTATTCCATTTAAAAAAAAAATGACGGTGACGTCATTACTCGAAAGTAATTCACCCTGTGTATTAGAATATTATTTTAAAATATGGTAAATTAAAATTAAAAATCGACTTGTTTCAGGATTATTTCTTAAAATGCTCTGTTTAGCTAAAAAAGAATTTGTTCCATACTTTACGGACACAGTGTATGTATACTACAAGGGTAGAGACAGAAGAACAAGAAATATTAGAAAGAGGCAGGGAAACGAACATTATAAAAGCAATGAATATTCACAAGTTTGTTTTAATCACTTGCATCAATAGGAACACCATGTGCTTTCAGCACAATGGAAACTAGTTATTGTTACTTACCTTCCAGTGATTTTTCTTACTGGTTATATTAATGTGTCAGAGTTTTTTTTTGAAATACGCTATTATAAATAAATAAATATCTCCTGCTGAAATATTTTTTAGTCAAGACATCATAAGTTTTGTGAGTTTGTGAACGAATTCTGCTAGAGAGAAGTTTAAAAACTACAATAGTAGATTAACTAACTTTTTGCCAATCGTCGATCAAATACTTTAACAAAACAAAACGATTTCTGAAAAACAACACATATATCGTACATAACATAGTACAAAAATTCAAGGAAGTTATTTCCACCGAGGCCGTTTTTGACAATAACTGAATAGTCTCTTAAGGAATGAATAGAGTTTGAAATCAAACATTGAAAACACGATCTGATATTCCTCAGTTTTTAGCTTTTCACACACTGTGATATCGGGATGCTCACACGCTTCCCCCGTAGCTAGGTCTCGGCGGGTATAGAAAGGGACTTCGAGCTTTGGGGGTGCCGTTGGTGGGTCTAGTGCCTCCCCCATTTACGGTGACAATGGTGGTGGTGGTAATTTCCGAAGCACACGATTCCCTTTTGTGATAGATGTTGGTTGGTTGACTATATAACCTAAAAAAGAAATCGTATAGTTAATTTACCATTCCACAATAGTTTTAATTCCAATTGTTTTTCAATATATTTTTTTTAAGTACATAAATTATAAACATTTAAATAATAATTATATAAGCAGATATCTAAAATAAAATATTTACATATAGCAATCTTATTTTCCACTTTAGTAATACATATTTGTAATTGCTTATTATTTATTACAATACGCAGTTTCGTTTGCTCAATTTATTTTTTTATAAAACCATTCTGAAATATTTTTATACACTAAAATTGTTTCGTTATTAATTGATTATATTTTTACAAATTCAAAATTAAATTCGTAAAAGATTCTTAACTATCAATAAATTAAAAATTTTATAGGCCATTAGTTCTAGGTATCAGCGATATTAGGTGGTCAGTCTTTGATCAGTTTTACTTTTATACGATGACCTCTATATAATAATTTTATTAAAATCAAAAAGCGAGGAGAATGTTTATGTACAATATAGAAATCGCTGGTGTCTCCCTTGCAAAAATCAGAAGATGGCAACATGTTGCCAAAAACCGAACAGAATGGCGACGAATTTTAGAGCAGGCCAAGATCCACAGAGGATTGTCGAGCCAAAGATGATGATGGTGTCTCCCTTTTGCTTTGGGTATGTCTATTGCGATAAACAAATAAAATCAATAGGACTATAATTAAAGCAAATAAGCAGAATGAGTAAATAAATAACATACATATAGAAGCTTATGAGTACCAATTTAAAATATGCGTGGTCAAGATACAAAAACTAGTAGTTATTCATAACACAGATTGCTTTACAAAAGGTGAACGAAGTAGCATATAAACCCAGCTTCTTCGAAAACTAAATATTATGAGAAATATTTTGGATATCTATATCACACAAACCTTTTATCTACAAAATCATAACAGGATTATGCTAAAATATGATACGGCAAGTAAGGCCAGTTGCAATGACTTTCATAGCTGATTGTCACATAAATATCTATGTAAAGCATCATTATAAGTTTAGATATAAAAAAACATTATACAAAGTCAATATATTGATAAAACGTAACACAAAACAATTATCATACAATACCGTAAATACGTGTTTAAATAAACGTATTTAAAATAAAACTCTTTTCCTTCTTCCTATGGGGCTCCATTCGGTTATTCTCTTTATCCATCTGCTGTCACTAGTTCTTCTTACTTGTCCATACTACTTTAATCTTTCTTGTTCTATATATGTTAGTATGTCTGTTTTTATTGATGTTCTTTGCTTTATTTTGTCATTACTTCCCCTATCCATTCTTCTTACTCTGTAGCATCTTCGCAGGCATGCTGTCTATGTTGCTATGATCTTACTGCTGTTTTTCTTGTTTATTAGTCAATTTTTAGTCCTATATGTCATAATATTTCGCGCTAATATTTTATAACTCTGTGTTTTTGTCTTCATATTTAGGTGTCTATCCTACAATACTGAGTTAAGTTGTCGGATTGCTGTTCTTGTTTGTTCTAATCTTATCCGCGTATCCAACACCATTAGTAAATAAGATTTTGTTTAACACTATCCATAATGAAGATACTTCACCTTCCATCGTGACTAACAATGCTGATCCTGAATTCTTAAGTGGGAACCCAGTCTCGGATACTCCTATCAACAAATATTTTCATTGCCATATTTCAGAGATATCACTCCGGGGTTAACCAGGATTCCGAAAATTGTTGAAAATAGCTTTGGTAATAATAATAACAACATTAATTTAATGTGGCTTGTAGATCAGCCCTAACAATTAATAATCTTGATTCGAAGATAAAAGATAAGACTCCCATAGATAGGCTTAGTAATATTGTCTACAACAATCCATGCCTCTCTTGCAGCAATTCCTACATTGGCGAAACATCTCAATTATTTAAATCACGTATTACACTACACAAAAGTGATTCTCGACTTCACCCTGACCGCTGTGCATTAGCCAAATATGTCCATTTCACTGGTCATTTCATTAACTATACCAACACTACAATTCTATCACTAAGCGATATATACCACTTCTTACTTAAATCAGATACCAAGAACAATACAACATCACAGATAACTAACTTGAATGATATATCCATTAACAACTAACCTACTTTCATAATAATTTTCAACAACTAACTTTTTCAGCAACAACTAATGCAGATTGTACGTTACCCTAATGGAATAATAGCACCCACCCGCTACCGAAAATAACGTCTTGTTGGGCAAAAAGGAACCATAAAAATATTGATGATGGCAGAGGGGTCTCCACCCCTATCATATAGACACGACTGCTTTGTTCGGCCGATGGAATGACTCTATCTGAGAATCAGCCGTTAATTCGAGAGTTGTTTTTTATAAGTATAGGCAACTCGTGGCTGTATAGTTACCCAAGCGAATTAACAACTGTTTATTGTTTCATAATGTCTACGTTTTTGGATGTAAAATCTTGGCGAACTATAAGGGGAGAATCCAAAGTCTGTTAATATTTTAGCAATGTATATTTGCGAAATTGCTTCAGTCAGTTTACCACTACAAACTTTATGATTATTTCTGTGTATATAATGCTCACCCTATTCTCTGTATAAAAGAAACGGCATATTCCAAAGTTCATGTGAACTCAGAGGGTAAATTTATTTTAGAGATATCAAAAAAATGTCAATTTAAGATAAGTACCTACATCATTACACAACTGTTTAATAAAAATATCAGGTTTGACACGAATCGAATATATTAGATTTCTGTAAAAACAACCCCAAAATCTTACAAAATGAAGTAAAATATGCACTCATAGGACTTTAAACAACCCAAACAAAAAAGCCCGGGTCTTGATAACATAGATCCAGAAATACTTAAATTATTTTAAATATTATGATTTTATAATCTATGTTTTTTTTTCTTTTGGCTTGGACAATTCTAATTTAGCCAGTTTCAATCAACGTGAGCTTTAGTAATAAATTTAAATATATCAATTGGTGAAACATGATTAATATACCTAATAATATCTAATAATATAATTATTCCGTACTTAGCTAATGTACATACTATACTAATAAATACTATATTATACCTTTATTATAATTTAGTTTTTTAGTTAAAATTCAGTTGTTGAAAGACGTCAGGTGAAATACATTGTGATAAAAATATCTACCTACTATGTTAATATGTACAACTTTGGTAACATATATTTTTTATTATGTTAGAACATAAACCCGATTCAACACCGCGGAGTTTTAGACCCTCTTAGTAATTGTTTCACTTTTTTTTTTTATTTTTTTCTTTTTCTTTTATTTTTTTAATATATTTTTTATAATCCTCTTTTTTATTACTTTTTTTTTCTCTTTAAATCTATGTTTTAAGTATTTTTTTATATCTCTTTTTTAATCTTTTTTTTCTAACTAATTCAGGCATACTTTACTATCAGACAAAAAGTTTATCAAGCAGTTATAAATTTTCTTTTATTGAGTGATAGTAGAAAGAGAACATAAACATTGTTTATACTATTGACATTCAAAAAATATGTAGTTTAAGTCACTTTTAATCTGACATTATTGACAATTATCCAAATTTAATGTATTCATTTTAAATAAATCTGCAGGATAACATGCATGGCCAAATCTAAGTCTACTGATGGTAGTTATGTATTTGCGAGAGAGGATGAAATTCTTATACCAATTTTTTTAGGATATTTGGTTGTAATAAACTATATTGTGTTGTTAAAATACTACAGTACTTTTCCCAGTGTGCTTTCAAGTTGTTCATTTGTTCAGTTCTTAAACAAGCAACACCATCTATAATGCAAAGCTGTTAGTTTATTAGTGATCCATGAATAAAAGAGTTTTTAGCTAACTGCTCTACGTGTTTATTATATGTAAGTCCTTAATGTGCTTTGATTCACATCAAATGTATTTTTTGGGTGTATCCATTAATTTCAAGTAAGTATTTTTAAATTAATAAAATGTATGGATTAGAAGTACTACATGATAGTTGCGGTTTTGTACAGAGAATGAATCAGATAAAATTACTACTGAACTATATAATGCCAATTTTAAACAAAATAAAGACTTATTTATATGGCCACAGCATTGGGATTAAAAATAGAGAAATTTTTGGGCTGCTTAAACATGTTTCTAATGATTTATCTGGAATATAAAAGGCACAACCAGTACACTTTGGACTTTTAGATGCGTTTGTATAAATACAAACAGGTTTTGGTCAATTTGCAGATAGTTGTTTAAAATAATACGACTTATTAAAGGGTTCTCATGATAAATATATTGTATTATATGTATTTAATCCACTAACTCTAAAAAATTTACCACTTTGTTTGCAACTGTAAGTTAAGGATCTTTATTTGCAGTATTTCGAACTGCTTCGCATAAAAGTGGAGAATTCTTGTGAGTCCAATATTTATTTGTTAAGTAGAAATAATTTAAACTACTAATATATTTATATAACCAAGTGTTATAACGACGAACTTTAAGAAATTTTTGACTGAAATATTCTCTTCTAAATTTACTGGGCAGTTCCATTGTCTTAACATAAAAGGATCCAATAGGGATAGATTTCATAGCACCCTGCACTTCATTTATCAAGCATAAAATCAACATGCAGTTTCCAGGTCAGTTTTTTTATCCAAAACCATACCCAAATATTTTATCGACTTCTTCTTCTTCTTCTCGTGCCCTCCTAGCGGAGATTGGAAATCATCATGGCCACTGCGACTTTGTTAGCAGGGCCTAAAAAGTTCAATCGAACTACACCCGAATTTATCGACTTACAGAGGGGAAAATAATTATCAATTAATTCTATTTGTTCCCCTTGAGGCAAGTTATGTCTAGTGAATATACAAATGTTAGACTTCTTGTGTGCCAACTCAAAACCATTTTTTTTAAACCACCTACATCAATGTTCATAAACACTTGAGTGAGTGCATCCTTGTCTGTAACCGAACTGAGAATTTGGAAGTAGTTTTTCTAACTTAACCACTAT